GGAGGAGGCTGCTGCTGGTCTCCTTCTTGGGGTGGTTCATCCTGTGAACCATCGTCTTCATCTTGGTCTTCGTCTCGGTCTTGGTCTTCATCCTCTTCCTCCGGGGGTGGTTTAGGTGGCCGTCCTCCAAGAGGTGGTCTTTGTGGATGCTGATCACCACTCTGACTTTGTTCCTCTACATCATTATGGGAAAGACACACAGTAGATGAGCTTTTGGCTGACACTCTTCTTCCTATATTCTTGTCTGATCTTGTCACATGGTCTTTTTCTCCCAAAACCTAATCTCACTTACTAACTTCCTTCCAACTTCCTTTGCTCCCTACATTTTTTAATTTTTGATTTTTCCATGCATGTTGTTGAGATTAATGGCTTTTATTTAGGCATCTCCATGCATGTGCATATCATCCTTTGATCATTTGCAGCTTTCCATTCTCCGGTCTTCTGACAATTCATGAAAAATTCCCATGCATTCATACACTTATTACATGGAATATCTCACTTCTAGGACCTGGGGCAAGTATCTGCCCTTAAATACCCCAGAACAGGATGTCTTCAATGCTGCACCATTGCCCAGGATGTCTCCAAAGATAGAAAAGCAGCAAAGCACAGAGATCATAAATGTCTGTTCGCCTGCCAGTTCTACATGAGAACATCATAAAATGTTGAAAGTGCATCTGCTTGCTGAGGGCTCTCGGTCCCTGAAGGGAGAGTCTTAGCAAAGGAGAGAAAGTGATGGCCACAGGATCTCCTAAATGGCGTTGACAAATTCTACCAGCTATTGAGACAGAAATAAATAGGCAAAAATACAAAGGAAAGGGCCACAGACATACAGTACTGTGCATTCCAGCCTGAAGCCCTATGATTCTAGAGAGGAACGTCAGGCAAGAATGAAGCCACTGACCAACTGTCAGTATTGTGAGGAGGTGGAATCTGTACACTTCCCATTTGTGGGTCCCTATGTGCAGCTGCTTCTGTGAGGGGGAAATAGATGTCCTCCTCATGTGTCACTGCAGCAAGATGCCCTGTTTCAAGTGTGTGGCCCTGGTCTAAGTCCCTTGAATCAAGGCTGTTCAAGATTTTCCTATGGCTTTCAGGTGCGTAATGCTCACTCCTTCCAAGGAAATGTCAATGATATGATCACGCAGAACTGAAAGACTCCCAAAGAAAAGTGGGAAACGAATGTTGACTCCTCAGGAATTTGGCCTTACCTGCTATATCAGTGGAAGACTGGTCATAGATGACCTCTACGAAATAAAGCACAAGATAAAATACAAATTAGTCACCAGCCTTTCAAGGTTGATCAGTGTCCTGTGGTGAAAGAACCTTCCAACTGCAGCCTGCACACCCTCTAAGTGGAGCCCTCTCACTTTCCCTTTGATGCTTTCAGTATGTCTCTGCAGAGAGAGCCCAATTCATTATCTGAGTCCGCATTTCGAAAAACCTTGATGTGTATTTGTCTCCTTCATCAGTCCTTCACCTACCATGCAGCAAGGCTGCTAGCTTTCTAATTCTTTTTGAGACATGGTCTCCTTATGTTGTCTTGACCTTGACCACACTAGGTAGCCCAGGGTGACCTCAAACTCATGCTAATCCTCCTGCCTCAGTCTCCACAGGCCTAGAATTACAGCCATGGGCTACCATAACAGCTTCCTCTGGCTACTATAATTTCAATTGTCCCTTCCCAACTGGCTTCTCTGCTGAGCGTTTTCACCTATCATTCCTTCCTTGATAGCACAAAGACAATGTGCTGAACATTCATTAGTTACCGTACTATTCCCCTGTCCCATTTTTATGATATTGCAATTATACTTTCAATAAAGTCTAAAATATTAACGTGCAATTAGAACATAACTTACAGTTGTCCTAAGACCCCCACTGCCCAGTATTTCTTCTCATCTCCTTCCCTGCCTTTTCCCCTGACAGTCTCCAATGTGGTCTCCAAGCCTCAAGCAGAGTCATATCACAGCCTCACCCCCATTGCTTGTACCTTCATTGGAGCTCTGAACAGAGCTCAAGGCCAGCAGGGCCGCTGTCAGCAGGACCACCAGCATCTTGCAGGAGGCTCTGGAGCTGCTCCTGAGTCTGAGTTGGGGACAGGAGGAACCTGGCTTTATAAAGCCAAGCAGAACAATGGCCCCTTCAGCTGCATGACCCTCTACGACGCTCTGCATCCTTGACTCCTCTTTGGGACTTTGGCCCAGCAGGATGGGGTGCTGCAAAGGTTGTCAGTGTCTCAGATCTCAAAGATTCAACTTTTACCTTGCCCCAGAGTGCTGAAGGTACAGTGTGCAAGAATTAAGCACAGATAGTATAATTAAATTTGATCAATATTTGAATTTCAATCTATTCAATGAGACTGTGACTCCATTTATTTGGGGTATGTGTGTATGTGTGTGTGTGTGTAGGGGTCCATATGCATATACATAAGTGTGTAGGCAGTCACCCTAAAGCCCAAACTGAAGATGGTCAGTATCCCTTAGTGTTAGTACCATTCAAACTCCATGAATCGTGATATGTGGGTCCCCGTGTATGTTTCCAAAATTGTTGGTGACATACATGTCATTTCTGCTCAATTCTGTAATTCCTTAAGCACTTCCACACTTCAAGCCATGTAACAGAAGTTTGAGCCCTGAACTGTTCATGCTCGTGAAGACCATTTTGCTCTTTGCAGCTTTGTGGGTTATTATAGTGAAAGTGGGCAGAGTAGTTCCACAGCATTTCTACAGCTCAGGTACAGAAACATATATTTCTCACTATGAACCATGCTATTTTGTGTTTCTGTGAATTTTTTCACACTCCTTCCACTTCCCAGCGTGTTCTCTAAGATTGAACCAGGGACCTTCTTGTGTGTAGAAAATATTTTGAATCATCGTCACTGAGATTGGATTGATCACAAGTATCCACTTGGATCAGGTAGTCTACAACACCTTTGAAGACCTCATTTCACTTTGTCTTCAATATTCTGTATTTGTTACTCTTTTGTTGTGGCTTAAATTTGTGCATATTTTGTATTCTGAATTAATCCTTACTGTTTTTTCTCCCCTTTTATCCATTTATTTGTGTAGAACAGCTTCACTTAATTTCTCTAAATCAGGCTTCATAGTACCTATCACTGCCTCTTCTGTGTGGGCTTGGGTCGGGTGTGTTGTGGTACTGAGGATTGAATCCAGAAGCACTGTAGTGCATCCTAGGCCTTTCTACTTTTCATTTTGAGTCAGGATCTCAATTATCAAGGATGGCCTCAAACTTACAATCAATCCTCCTGTCTCTGGTTTTAAAATATTTATGAGCATTTGCAGATGTCACCATACTAGGCTCATTCTTATTTTTAAAATTTGATAACATACTATATGTGTTTTCAAAATCCACTTTTGATAGCTTCACTTGCAGCTCTCTTTTCAAGTGCTGTGCAGCCATTGGTTACCTGAGCACCTTTTGCATGAAAATGTAAATCAGTCAGTATAATTAGCTGCCTGTTATCACTTCATATCATGCATTGGTTTATGTAATGATTCAATTTAATGCAGGCTATAGATAACTTGAGCATAGTTTGTTTGGAAGTGTGGGAGACAGGGCCACGTGCTTGGACATCCTAAAGATAGCTCCCTTGTCCAATGTGGACCCTTGGGTTTGGGGCTGTGTCTCTCCTGGGCCTTTCTGCAAGGCTGAAAATACTATTCCTGGCAGCCTCTTAAACAGTGGGGTTTGCTGTAGACAATGTGACTCTGACAGGATGATCAACTGGATGATTTTACCCGGAGATGAATAAGAGACTTTTCTTCTTAGTTTTAAGCAGTTTTTGATTCTGTAGCTCTGGCCTCCTGTTGATGACCCAATTCCTCAACATCCCCAGAGCTGGGATTACAGTGGGCAGCACCATGCCTTGCTGAAGAGTGTATGTAGAAGGGAGAAAATATTAGCAATTGGCAATTCTTCTCTGGTGGTTAGAACAGCAAAGAGCTCTGATTGTGCTTTGAGGCTTTATGAGAGACAGCAAATAATGGGTTGGTCTTTGCATGCCACTGTGTTTAGTTCCATACTTATTTCTCATTTTTGTAGATGCCACATGAGAAGGGACCCACAGGTAGCATATGGTAGATCATCAGGTAGAAAAGGAAGTTCAGTGAAAAGTCACAGAGGCTCATGCCAGGCAGACTTGTTCTTTTGTGGGCAGCTGCAAAAGCAGCAGCCTGAAGAAGTAAGCCTTGTTCTTGGCTTAACAGTCTTTGAATAGAGCCAGTGATTCTGACAAAGGTCACTCAGCTGAAGCCCTTTCTCTGACCTTCCATAATGTCAGCAATGAGTGAAGAGATTAATTCATGATGAAAGGAAAATATCACCTGTGGATGCACCAAACGCAATCAAAACATAAGTTAGAGGAACTAAGAAGGCAGTCAGTTGCAGGGAATGGGTTGGAAGGAGTGAGAAGCCTGTGGCAGGGAGCTGGAGCCACTTGAGGTGAGAACTCCTCCAGCCACACATGTGTCTTCTGGAATCTATTTCAAAGATAACAAGCCTCAATATGATCTCGTAATGTCCACATCATTCACCCTGCTCTCCCCCATATTAGTTTCCAGTGGCCACCAAAACAGGAAGGAAGGAGAAAGAAAAAGAACAGATTCACTGACTCTGTGGCAAAAACCCAGAAATTTATTGTAACAATGTTCAGAAACTAGAAGTCCGACGTTAAGTTGGTAGCAGGTTCATGGTTTTCAAAAGCTTCATGGCTTCCAGAATGTCACCTCCTTGCCATGTCCAAATGGGGTCCCCTCTGAGTACACGAATCCCTCCTGTCCCTCTGTGTGTCCAAATGTCCTCTTATTGTAAGAATGCTAGTCACACTAGGTTCTGGTTACCCTAACAGTCATGTTGAACCAAGTCATCTATGAAAGTTCCTGTCTCCATATGTAGTCAGATTTAGGGTACAAATTAGCCTGTAACACCTCCCAATCTTTTCTCATTTAGTGCCACTCATTCTGCCCAGTTCCTAAGAAAAAGTACAGGAGTCGCTTTTGACTTCTCACTCACTCAGGCACTGTCCATCAGCAAATCCAACTGGCTCTACTTTCAGAATATATCAAAAAGTCCCACTTGCCCAGTGTCCTCCACGACTCTGGCTCAGCAAGGATTTTCTCTCCAAGGGCTTTAATAGCCCCTAGCAGTCCTGATGAGATTGTTTCCCTCTACTGAGGGCCTCATGACTTTCCTCTCAATGTCCAATGGGGCCATTTCAAGATAAAGATCACACAACTTTTTTTGCTTAAAATTCTCTAAGATTTTCTCATTGTACCTGTTGTAAGATGTAAATGTCATACCTCATGTCTCCACCTAGCACCTGTTTCTCTTTTCCTTGAAGAGTGGTGAGTTTTCTGAATGTGAGAAAATGCAGAATCTTCTCAGCTTCTTTCTGTTCTGGTCTGTGTGGAATACGGCAGTAATGTTTTCCAAGGAAGATGAATATTGATGGGGGGCTGGGGGGTAAACTTGTGCTACCAGTGAGTGATTGCATTGAGTCCCATTGTCTAAGGTGGAGATCGTGTAAACTGGAAGAGTCATTGTGTACACTGGACTGACTAAGCAATTTGATGATATAATTAGCAAATAAATGCACTTATCTCTGATACATAATCTGAGCTTCTATTTTCCTAAAACTTCTGGCTATATGATTATTGTGTTGCTCTGCATAATTATTTTGTCATTGACTCTCAGTGAAGGTAGATTCCTCTCATATCCTCAAACATCCTTCATAACCCAGTCATGGATATAGGAAAGGTTTGTGAAGCTTTCATTAAACATGTCTCATTAAACATGAGACAGCACTGCATTAGACTTTAAGCTATGTTGTATAACTTAACACAGTTGAACTATGTTATATCAAACTTATAAGACATATAAATTATAGTTTATATGTCTATAATGTAAGACCTATAACATCCATTTAAAAACCTGCACAATGAAATACACTAAAAATGCGACTGATAAGGAAATATTATAAGCCAAATTTTATATAAATCCCTATTTATCTTTTTGAAAAAACTTAACGTCATCATAAAAAAGCTTGTTGACTCTCTCTGCTTCCCACTAAATCAAATCCAGTGGAAATTGGTAAGAGGTCTGTCTTGTCTGTAATCTGACAACAGTGGCTTCCCAAACATGTGCACTTCTTATTTCCAGAACCAGACACTATGGTATATTGCATGGCAAAGGGGACTTAAGTTTCTTAGTCAAGTGACATTAAAATAAGAGATCATCCTGGATTGTGCCAGCAGTCTGTTGTAATTACGATTCCCTTAAATGTGCAAAGAGAAGGCAGAGGAGTGTGTAACAGAGTGATGAGCTGGCATGGGAGAATGAACTGGCCATCACTGGCTCTGAAGATTGAAAAGGACCAAGGAAGGTAAGGAAGAAAGTGGGATTCTTCCCTAGAGCCCGAGGAAGAGAACTCCACCCTGGAACATGGATTCAACCCCATGAGAACCATTTCAGACTTCTGAGATACAACACGGTATGAAAACAAATCATGTCGCTTTGAGTTACTGACTGCATGGTGATATATCATAGCAGCAATAGGAAAACTAATACCCTTCCTATGGGCTTGTTTCATGTTCTCCTCTGGGCCCTCACAGGTTAGATCCTGTTTATAAAGCATCTCAGAGGAATAAAATTGTTATGGATATTAACACAAAGCCACTAAGCAATCTCTTCTCTTCTAAAATGAAAACTCTCAAAATGCATTTCAGTGAAAGTTTATTAAGCCCATATTAAATGGGATGGAGCTAAGAAATGCCCCTCTCTTATGCATGTACAATACACAGCACTCATCCAAGATCCATGTCTTGATGTTTCCTTTCAGCTGGGTACATCTAATTTTTCACTACTTTTCTACAATTATGCACTCTCTTGCGGTATGTGATAGCTTCTTCAAACATGTGCATCTTCTCAGAAAGTGGAGGATGCCAGATAGGTAGCCCTGCTTGCTGTAGACTTTGTTTCTTTTTCTAAATTAAAAACAAAACAAGAGTTACCAAAAGAACCCAGTGCTCAAAAGACCAGGCTCATCTTTTGTCATTTCCCACTGTGACCTTGGGGTGGCATTTCATTTCTCTTGTGCTTTAAATGCCTTAAGTGAAACATTCTTGCTCCTAGCCTCTAAGTTAGTCTGGCGGGCTGAACTCCTATCAGGGACTACAATGCAAACGCACCTCAGGGGAACTTGGTGAAAGCTTTCGTCTCTGCTCATACATAGAAGTTCCTCATAGAAGCACCTGCACTGGACATTTGTTCTTGAGCTCCTACCATATCTCTTCGCTCCAAGAGTATATTGAGTTTTCATTGAACACTGCCTGGGTGAGAAGGATGTGAAATGGGCAGGGTACCAAAGTATACTTTTGCAGAATGCCTAGGATCCTTCCACAGAAAGCCCCTCAAAGTCAGATCTTTAGCCTTTTCTGCTACTCTTCAGCTCATCAGAAGGAATGACATATGCCAGAAATAATGACATAAATTCATTAATTTAAAACATTCAAATCTCCTGGATTTCTCTTCCTGCTAAGAACAGAAGCGTCTGGGTTTGCTGTAATTGCTGTAGTCAGAAATCAATTCCTGTTAGGCAGAGGTGGAAACAGTGGTTCCTGTTTCCAGAAACGACCATCTGGATCTGGGCTGTGAGGCTGCTTCCTGGTTTCACAGTCAAAGAGGACATATGCCTGACATGCCAAGACGGGCACAGAGTATGTACAGGACATCAGTTATTTGTATGCAACCACTAGAGGGCATAACCCTGAAGTAGGACTCCATTACTCCAACATATTTTCTGTGAAGACGATTACCATCAAAATTTAAATCCATACAGACAAATTCATTCAAATAGGTCCTTCAGCTTCCACTAAAGTGCAACTTCTAGATTCCTCCAACTACTACCTGCAATGTTCCAATGCACCTACAGCAGTGCTAACAGCTTAGCTATTATTTGTAGGTACAACCAGATCATTCAGAAACCTAGGTGTGACCCAAGTCCTTTCTTAGCAAAAATCTCAGACATCCTTCAAATTATAGGGTTTTGTTTGTGAAGGAAGAAGAAATTGAAGTCTTATGACCCCTTCACTAAGGGTCAGATAAAAAATGAGAAACTACAGAGGGTTGTGACAGAGCGTGATCAGAAAGGACCAATGCTTCATTCATAAAGTTTTTAAACCTTTGTTCTGTTCAGTCTCGATACAAATGACTTTTACAATTACCAAAAGCATTACAAAAAAGCATACACACAAATCTGGAAAAGAAAATGAGGTGATTAACACCGTGCACCTCACCACATCCATCAACCCCATGGAGGGACCAAAGAGCTCTTCCCCTACAGCAGGCCAGAGAATGGCTCCCAGGAAGACTGCACAGATATCAGGGATCAGCAGTGTAGGAAGTCATCAAATTCCAGCTGTCAGTAATGCTTTGGGAAATGCTTATGTTTCTCTCATTTTTCAAACTTTTTTTGCCAAAATTTTGCCCTACCACAAAGAACAGACCAGCAGTATCATTCCCAAATATTAGTTACCACAACAGCACCTCCTAAGCAATAATATATAATCAAGGGGAAATAAAAGAAAATAAATAGGTGCCACATGTTTGAAGGAAGGACTCTTGACCTGTAGCCTCACTGGTTTCTTCCACAGAGTCAAAGGGGGACATGTCCAACACCGAGGCAGTAGAGAATTCTGGAAAAAAGAATAAATGTAAAAGAGTTGTGTCTATTCCCTGTGGAAGTCAGTACACTAGAGGAAAGCAGGGTTTCACTGAGGCATGCAGGAGAAGGGGGGTAGCAATGCCTGTCCACCTCCCCTGAAACAAAGCCCTCACTTACTGAAAGTCTGTGTGTCCTCCTGGAATATGTTCCCAGTTGATTCTGGTCCATAGGTCTGGGCTACACCAGCTGTTGAATCTTGGTCCACAAGTGGGTCTATATCAATAGTGAGCTCGTGTATTATTATGGACTGAATGTAGACACACACACACACACACACACACACACACCTGCCCACAGGCCCCATGCAGTCATAGGTGGGGACTTCAGAGGATGGCTGTGTTAGGGGGTGTGGATGTATACTAAGTGATGTGATGCTGGTATTAAGATTGTGAATGATAGTAGCCCCACCCTGGTTTAAGTCACACCAATCAATAGACTTACAGCCCAGGTGGAATGCAAAAGGAAGAGAGGGAAGGTAAGCTTGCTACTGCTTGTTCTTGCCTTCTGCCTCCTCTACTCTGTCAGATCTATTTCTCCTCTGTGATGCCCCTCTGCCATACCACCCTGCTTTGGAACCAGCTGACTGTAGACTAAAACCTCTACAGACTGTGAGCTGAAATAAACCTTTCTTCCTTAACTTTGGGTTTTGAGTATTTTATCTCAACAAGAGAAAAAAAAACCTAAGACAGAAGGGGACATGCCCAACTCCAAGGCACCAACAAAAATCTGAACCATAGGTGTGGCTACTACTTAATGGTTGAGATCCAGAACACTAGAGGAGAGCAGGGTT